ATTAAAATATTCATACTTTAAAAACGTACGTCTATCATGTGTAATTTAATTCAATATAAATTGGAATATCATTGGAAGGAGGTGAACACTTTTGCAAGACACTGTATCTGGGGTGCACTTCAAACCCTACTTGTGTAATTGACCCAGTTTCGTACTCTTCGTGAGATCTTTCAGAATACGTAATGATGGCATGGGGGATTCACAGTTTGCAGATTACAAATTATTTTAAAATTCATGTGATGATGTGACTAACGGATCAGTTATGATAGAAGGGCTATTGGGAGCATTACTAGTTCAAGGTTTAGAAAAGATTAAATCAAATATCAGTGTAATTTAAGCCAACTCTGAAGCTTTTTTATAACATATACAGTATAATAAGCTTCAAACATTTTGATTATAGTCATTGTAGAAGTAGCACCATGTGATGACTTACTCAATTATGTTTAGTAACAAAGCCAAAAAAAATGAACGAAAATGGGTCTCCTGATGGGGTGCGTTTGTTAAATCTATATTTCCACAGATGTAGTCTATTTCCATCTTAGAAGGCGTTGCACAAGTGCAAGCCAGATATGATGGCTACATGCAAGCAAGGCATTTTAAAGACTATTTGTCATAACACTCTTATTTGCTGTTCTGTCAACCTTTTTTTGAACTGGAACAGAAGAATATGATTAGAATTGTGCGTCATGTGTACCATTCCTTAGACAAGGAATAAAGCACTCTACAGGTTAAAAGCACTGCATTAACAAGTTGTTGGAGAATTCCTACTGACATTGCTGATTTTTAACCCTTTGGACTACATCAGTTTTTTTTATCATTTATCATTTTATCATTACATCATCTTTTTTAATCAGTCTTTTGATAAACATCTCAGAAATCACCATGCTTGTTAAAGTATATAGAAACTCAGTACCTCTCAGATCGTCTTCCATCTTTTTAATCCCATACAAGTCTAACATGTCAGTGTTTGTTAGAATTGCAGAACAATATTTCAAGTATTTTTCCTCAAAGCTTCTCTTCAACAAAGGTTAAAGGTGCAGAGGTTTAAAACTGAATCTTTTCAATTTCACCACTTTGGAAGTATCATTCAAAGAAGAGCATTCCTTGAAATTGTCAGTGCTTGCACTATCAGTTAGCCAACAACTTAATTTAGAATTACACTTCAGTTTTATAGTTTCTTTTTTGTGAATGGGACTTATTTATTTTTTATTGTGCTGTATGGCTTCCATACAGTGCTCTATTGATCTAGGCTCATTGTTAGTCATGTGCAGAACTACCACGTCTGGCCACTTTTTGCAGTTTAATTTTAAATTGACTACATTTTATCATTCTTGACATACAACAGTCCTTTTGTGGAGTGCTGCCAGACCGACAAATGTAAATATTGAAGAGTGTAATGTAATATAAATGAAGAGTACCTTATCAAACCAAGCATTTCTTGAAATATCCCAGTATGTTCAGTCGTCTGGGCTCTGTTTGAAGTTGTATGTACTGTCCCAGTCTTGAGATGGCGACACTACCATCATGCCTTCACATCCTGGGCCTAGCTGGTCTGATTCATCTCTTCACTGGAGTCATTGAGTTCCACCAGCTCTACCAGTTCTGTGTTCAGTGTTCTGTAAAGGATCCACTTGTTCTGTAAGCAGCCACAAGTTATACAACATCATCATATAGAGCATTTGATACAAATCTGTGGTGATCTACTGTACAAGCCCCTTACTAGGAGAATGGTGCCATAATTTTTCTTGCTGGTGACTTTTACCATAGATGGCTGTTCAGGGTTTAATAATAATAACAACATCACTTTATTGACCATTTACAATTTCTTGCATTAGGAATTATCTTTTCGCATACCCCAGTTCATACACTGACTTGAAATGTACTTTAAACAGATTATTGCAGTCTGTTTCAGGTGGTGATATTGATGGAAGTCAATCTAACACTTTTTTTTATATGTGCACAGTTCTGCAAAAGCAACAGAAATTAAAGACATTTAGGAGTTATAATATACAGCAATTACTCAACATTAGTCTTTTGATGGTTCCTACTCTTACAATAACTTTGAAGTAGTTCAGGTGGGTAGCTGCGTCAGCAGCTGAATAGCAGCTGACATATGAAGAAGGCTCTATGGCCGAAACGTTGTGTTTTCTTTCTTCTCTTTTCAGCATGGAATAAGCCTATTACTTGTTCCCTATAATAACTTATTTATTTTGATACGGCTTAGTCTGGGTGATAAGAAACCAAGTTTGCCATTTAGCAATCTTTAATACACATTGATCAACATCTTTTATAAATTTGATAACAACTAAAGAAAATATATAAGCAGCCAATATAACGTATTGTTACAGCTAATCCATCACATTCACTGGACATTCAAGCTGGTTGTAATCAGGATTATGAAACCTAATAGGGGCAAAACAACTATCCATGGCTGCTGACTGACTTTATACATGTGAACTGGAATTAATAGTTTCTTTAGATGGTTCTGCTTTCTATCACTGTGAAGTGGCCAGAGGTCATTAATATTCCCATTTCCATTATTCATAGTGATTTCTGGCTTTTAAAAAATAACATAAACCTCAAAGGTGTCCTTTGTAAGATGCTGCGCTAATTGATTCATTGTCAGGTGTTCCACGTCATTAACATTATGTGTTCTTTTTACACATTCAACCAGTAAGTCTTAAACGGTACCCTTTTCGCAATATTGTACAGATCTACTGCATAAGGATTAATGTTTAATTTAACATGAAATACTTAAAATTTAGTACTGTCTAAGTCTTGGGCACAATAGAGTATGTACAGTATATACTGGACTGTACAGAACGTTTGGAAGTGATCAAAAGTGAATCATGTCTGTAAGAAATTGTCTAAAAGTGTTTTTTCCAGCTTCATATAACAATGAGGTATTAAATCTATTTTGGAGTATTAGGTGTTAGTTTAATCACAATAGTTAATAACATTTAACAAATAACAAATAACAGTGTCTCACATGGGCTACGAGCCTCACCCAGTTCCTCTCCAGTATCGCAAGGCTAACCTAGGAAAGGTACGATAGCCATTCTCTCTATATACAGTATATACTTTCTCCATCGATTATTCATGCCACCTGGCCTATCAGATTGTCTGTGAATACAAATGAGAGATTGGAACTCTAGTGCCATTCTCATTGCTCCTCTTAGGAACTAAGCTCCTGTGGTTGGATCTTTCCACACCTCAAGTCCAGGACTTGCTTGACTTCATGTCTTCCCACTTGAGCCACTGTCATGAATTTTTTCTGCTAGAACGAGGAACCTGTCAGAGTTGGCCTGAGGAAGCCTCATCCTGTCCACTTCCATCATGGGACAGTCATCAGTTCTCTGTCCTGGGGCTTTACAAAGAGTGTCTGTTTCAACCCTTGCATAAAATCCTGAACCTAAAGGGCAAAACAACAGGACTGGTCTCCTCATGTATTCTTCTGAAACTGGTACTCAAGCAAAGTCTTTGACGAGTGTCCCATATGGAATGTACACAAAGCTCGACCATTCACTATTACACGCAATCTTATTCTGTGTGCATAATTTGGTGGTATGATGAGACGGTTTTTCTCTGCACTGTACTACTCCTGAATTAGAAATGATTAAGATAACAGTCAAGTCGTTCAAAAGCATTTCCAAAATTACATTTCTTTTCCATTCAAAATGGTTTTTATTAACTTCAGTCTATAGCTTTACCCATTAAAAATGTCTTTCGGTTGCAAAATACAGTGAATTATAGTACATCTGAGACATTAGTGTGCAGACCATGTAAATACACTAACATCCTTATGCTTAAAGAAAAGTTGTTTGTCATGCAATACTGCAAGACCTGTGAGAATCGATTAGAGGTTTTTAAAGTAGCATGTTTTATGCATCAATTCCTTTAGTATTAGTGTCATTCTGTACTGTTTAATGCCTGTAGCCACAAGAAGATTAGTCATCAATGGCATATTATTAAATTATTTTTTGGTTGGATTTGGTGGATGTAACTACTGTGCATCTGAAAGTTCTAATTAAGGGCTTGTTCAAACTAGAGGACAAAAGTAGCTTTGATAATTCACTGCTTTGTGTTCAGATAAATCCAACTGCGGGAAAGACATTTAAATGCATATGGAAAGCTATAAAACTTAATCACCATTACATCTACTACAATTGTCTCATAAAAGTCAAAAGGTAACTTTAGCGTCCCATTTTGAAAAGCACGGATCATGCATGTTTTAAATGCACAAGTCTATCTATAGAATTTCTTAAAATGGTACAGTAGTTTTTCAAAACCATTTTGCTATTTCAAACTGTATGGTTAATAAAGTTAATGTAAGTAATGGTACAATAAACCATATTGTTGGTCCCTAAACTATTTTTTTGAAAAGGGTATAATATCCACTTTTGACAAATTATTCAAAACAGTATTCATTCCTATCATATACAGACTCCTACAAAGCAAAAATCTACACTTGTATTTAACTCATTGGGTTATCTAGAATCAATGCACTGGGCAGTTATGTTATCAATACTTTTCATATCTGATTAATACAATATGTCCTAAAATAAATTATCCCCAACATTTTTCACTGGCAATAGTATATTTTGCCCACGAATCACCAACGATGTTCGAAAAATACGGTGATCAGCGGCATTTAAACAAGGCATCAATAATAAACGTGACTTTCTCCAGAAACCAAAGACGCTCTGCTGAAATTCTTACATTCTTTTTCTTTTAGTTTCACGTATAGGCTTACGTGTGGATAATCTAAATACCAAAAATATTTCCCCTTTATTTACGTGCAGGAAACAAAAGGTCTGACTGGGATTCTTTATTTAGAGTGAGCAAAATGTTTTGAGTAAAAATAGAGTGTGCGTGGAAATGATACCAATTAAAATCTTCTTGCGGTTGTTTACTCCTGCCAAACATGATTTCCCCTTGTGACTTGTTATTCCGAGAACATATCACATTAACCTTTGCCGTCTCCTTCCTTTGTTTTGCAGATCAGGAGGTGCTGTATCGCACGCGTGATGGTGACGTAAAAAAGATTAACGTGGAGACAAAAGAAAATGCCACATTAATATCGAACAAACAATTTGTAAGTGTTTGTTTTTAAAGCTTATTTAAAAGAGAAATTACAATAAAGGATCAATACTGGAACACTCCTCATGCTATTGAGAGTCAATTATTCTAAAGGAAGGAAGTGATCCATAATACCGAGTTGCTTACCATACAGTACCATGTTTTTGAAGTTTATGTTCTGTCCACTGTTATTGTACACTGTTACTGTACCGTACATAAAGATAAACTCATGATTTATATTTTATTATACAATGATTATGTAATAGAATTCATTTCAAATGTTTTAATCCGAAATATCAGGCAAAATCACAGAATATGCGACCACCAATACAGCTGAAATAATTAAGGTATGTTTTTGGTTTCAAACGTGAAAATATTACAAAGTTAGTGTGTTTATAATAATAAACTTTGTTTTCATATGCTTTAGCACCTTTAAAAGTGGCTTCTCAAAGCACTTTACAGAACAAAAAATACACACATGAGAAGAGATTGTAAATGAGGGAATGGAATGCAGTAGGAAAGCAAAGGGACATACAGAACCAGTTAAATAAAAGCCCTTCTAAAAAAGAAGGGTTTGAGTCTAGATTTGAAAGAGCTCAAGGAAGGTGACTCTGATATCCTTAGGGATAGAGTTCCAGAACTTTGGGTTATGACCTCCCTGAGCATTAACATGAACAACATTAATACATAGAACTTACTGTATAGACTTCTTTGGGATGATCAACTGAAGCTAGCTGATGAAGATTGGCCAGTTTCAGCTGTTTCCCAAAAGATGTTTTGTGAGACTCAACTCATCCATTGTAGATGTTCTCTGGGCCAGAGAAAGCAGCAGTTTCTCTCAGCTGTCAACATCTTACTCGTGAATGGCCCCCAAGCATACCAATCTTTTTTTTTAAGCAGGCAGAAAGCAACTGATTTTACTGATGCAATGATTCTCCTGAGGAGCATCTCTCACAGACAAGCTACCTTGTCACAATCAGATGATCCCTAGTAGTGAATGGCAACTTTAACAGGTTCTTAATCAGCTAATTTTGGCCATTTTAACTCAACTCACAGTTTGAAGTCAAAACATTGAGTACCTGTGATTTTTATAAACAGTTTTTTTTTTTACCAATAGGAGCAATTCCTTATAGACCAGCTTAAATAATCAACAAGTCTTTGTCCTCATTATTTGCAATGTACATAATATAATACTGTACAGTATGTGCTTTCAATGAGTTATTGATATAAAAAGAAGACTTGCATTTTCATTGTGCATCAGCACCCTTTTATGATTTTGATAAATTTTATGATAAATTTTATAGGAACAAGCAGAGGTTAATTTTATTCTGAAAAGTAAGAAAAGAAGACATCTTCAGGTTTTGTGGGGTTTTTTCTTTATACTTTTCAATGTAAATGTAACCCCTGCATATTTCTTTGGCACTTACACATTGAAACAGCTCTGCATTCTAACCTAATTCTCATGCTATATATATAATTATATATAATAAGCAAAATCACAGCCATTGATTTCATTATCTTTTTCCAGCAGGCTCATAAATACTGAAAGCAAAATTAATTTCCTCCTCACTGGGGCTCATTAGTAGTGTCCATACTGTACTATTCTTGCTCGGTGTTAGTCTACAGTTGAGCTCCAGCTGGAGAGAAACAAGTATGTAGCTAGTAAATGTTTTTTTTTTGTTTATTGACACTACCAAAAAAAAAATAGACTCACCTCTTATCATTTTAGTTTTATTTATGATTCCATACCATATACATTCTTGGAAAAAAATAGAGAAACCATGTAAATGTGTATACTGTATGTAATTCAAATCACTTGTTATGCACAGCTTTTGTGTAAAAATCAAGTTGTTTCATATGGAAAAAGTTAAGGTTTATTCCATGCAGAAAAGAATAGAAAAACACAACGTTTGGCTGTGAACCTACTTGAATTGTTTCATATGTACTGTAGTATTACATTGGCATGCTGTAGTGTAATTAGTTGTTAGGGAAATCGTCTAGAGGATTTGCTAATGGTACATTTCCATAGCTTTTAAAAACTTTGAATTTTATTCCTTAGACTTCAAAGTCTGACATTTAGCTTTGAATGAAAATCACACTGGGCTGCAATATGTCAATATGTCAATTGGAATTTGCATTAATGAGCCTGATTTCGAAGAAACTTTGAATTCTGTAAAAAGTAGAAAGAAAGAACGCAGTGTTCTAGCTGTTGAGCTCAGACCTACAGGAGGTTCAAGCAGTGTTTTTTCTTCATTCTACTTTTACAGTGTGGAATTCATTTATACTAGTTTCTTTTCAGTCTGCAAATGTGCACAGTTCCCCAATCAAACCTCTCTTAAAATCCAGTTTTATTCCAGATTTTCTTTCTACTGCCGATGAAGCAGGAATAAAGAACTTCATAAAGCGGAATTAATTAAGGATTGAATGAAGTCCTGTCTTAAAAATGTCTAATAATGTTATTACTCTAATCATAGTAGCATTGTAGAGTCATTATTAGAGTCATTACTGTTATTAAGTCAACAGTTGGGGATATCCGATGCACGCTGCAATCTTCAGGATAGATTTTGGAAAAGGCCACTCAAAGTTTCCTGCATGAATGTCAAATTGAAATGTCTTATGGACAGATGACATGAAATTCAGCTATTTTGGCATGCTCATTAAGATGATGTTCATGTCAAATAGATGAAGATCATTTTGACAAAACACTCATACCCACTATGAAATACGGTACTGTGTTAGATTTTAGGGTTGGTTTGTACAGATCCTGGACCCCTTGTCAGGAACGTGAAATAATGAACTCCAGTATATACCAGGACATTTGGGCCAAACACCTGGTTGTTCCTTCCAAGAAGTTGATGCAGATCAACAAAGGAATGGCTAGCTGCACACAAAACTAGATATTATCTTCACTGGCCATCTCAATATCCAGATTGAGTCCAATGGAGCATTCATGACTTTAACTCAAGAAGGCTTTTCACTAACAGAGCCCAAAGTGTCTGAAAAAAGTCCAGCAATTCTATATAAACAAATGTTCATAATTTTTCCCTCTGAAGTGCCAGAATCCCCATAGCACGCTACAGGAGACAGTAGTCAGTGCCAGAGGTGTATTTTTAAAATGCTAACTACAGGGGTTTGAATACATGTGATTCTTGTGTTTTCTGTTGTTTATATTTCCTGCTTAATCGGGTTTATGAATACATTAGGAGAGCATTTTATACTGTATGAAAAGAGAGATCTGACCAGCATTTGTATCTGATCATCATAAATGTTTAAGCATGTACTGTACTGTGGTCATGTTAACCTTTTTTATGCAGAAGAATCAATCATTGTAATATGCTGAATTTATGAAGTATTTACTGTGTGCAGTATTGACAATGTATTAGTATGTGTTTGACTGCAATCTTCAGTTACTTTTAGTTTATTTGGCTGTTTTTTAAGTGCTTATAAAATCCTGTTAATTTCTAGTTTGAAGAGATATAGTTGTTCATGCATAACAACATTTGTATGAATTCAAGATATGAGACAAGATTAATTGTCACATGTGTACATCCTTTATGATGGCAATATGTCAAAACCTGTCATTTTAAAATAGGAACCTGAAATCTGCATTAGGAAAAATGTAATGCATGATTAAACATCTCATCTTTGTCTTTTTTGCAGGAGATGTATAAAGCCAGCAAGTATGAAGTGTCACCAGATATGAAATATGCTTTGCTTGCATACAATGTCGTACCTGTAAGTATTTTTTTTTCTAAAATGATTAAATGTTGTTCTATTGGAAGGGTACCTGCAGTATTAATACAAGGTAGTCTAACATATTGTACTGTACATGATTGCCTTTAGCAATAGCAAAAAGTTCAATGGAATTGTAAAATAACAAACACAAGCTCTCCTTTCTCTTCCTGGCTTTGATTAATCTTTTAATGTTGAAGAATAAATGGAGTTTGTAACAAAGGTTCAGGAGGGCTGACAACAACAAGATTCCCTTCATTGTAGCTGTCCTAAAGTGTTATCATCCAAGACGACATTTCCCAAAAGCTATAAATATGTTTAGTAAGCCTCTCTTTCTTGCATTCATCTTAAGCATCTGCAGCTACTGTTTGGTTAACCACTTCCTGTAGTTGAGATAGCATCTACAGTAGGTACTGTACTGTACAGTATGTTGTAGCAGTAATAGTATAGAGATGTCCACTAATGCAAGAAATTAATTGGGGTATATAAGTAATAAAATGGGAAATGTACCTACTGCATGTACCAAAGCAATCGTTGATGAGTAATGTAAAATACTCAAAATTAATAGTTGAGAGACTTTTCCTTTAGGTAGCAATCTGGTAGTATCTGATTACTACTTTGTTATTGTTACTACTTGTTATTACCAGACGACATTTGTCAGTCAATTAACACCTCATGTAATTATATTAAATTGGGTGCTCAAAAACCAAAATATATTTAGAAAACAGAAGTACACAATCATTTTGTACAACGTAGCAAATATCTAATGAAATACTGTAGA